TTTTTTTTCTTTTGTCTCTTTATTTGGATTGTTATGGACATATGGTTTCTTCTTACTGTGTTTCTATCAGGCTAGGAAGCTTGAGGTTCAGCTGGATGAGCAGATGCATTTATATCGTAAATTGGTGTCAGCGAAAGTTGATAATTCTAATGATAATGATGTGGAGTCTGGAATCGATCAGCTATTAAAACAGCTTCAACAAGTGAACATGCAAATGCAAGCTTGGGTTTCATCTGGAGGGTCCGAAATCTTTTCTCATACGTTGACACGGCATCAGGAGATTCTTCAGGATCTTACCCAGGTTAACAAACGTTTGACAAGATAACAAAATGCTTGGAGTCTGTAATTGGAAGCTAATAACACATTTTCTTTTGTTCTTTCTTTCTTTTGGGTGTTCGTGCAAGTATTGTATGTTTATTTTGTGTTAGTGGTCGTACAGCGAGTGCTGATGCTGGACCAAAACTTTTTCTGAAACTACATCTCAAATACCTGATATTGAAAATATTTGATTCTGTTGAAGGCATACATATGCACCATGTGTCTTTGAATTCCATCATGGAAAGCTAGCTGAGGGCGTGAATAACAATGTGAATGTAATTTGCATGAACTCTAGTTAGATGGTGGCTTCTGAGCCATACCAATGTGAACTCCATACTTCTTTGAAAATTGCTTTATACTGATCTTAGCTCAGAAAGCAAACATTTGCTGTTGGTATGCAGGAGTTTAATCGACTTAATTCCAGTCACAGAGCTAAGAAAGAGCATGCATCACTGCTCGAGGATTTTAGGGAGTTCGATCGCACAAGATTAGACCTTGAAGAGGGTAATGGTTCCTATGAACAATCTCTTATCAAAGAGCGTGCATCCCTCCATAGAAGTACTGGCCAGGTAATACTTAATCTGGTTTATTAGTCTGCATAGTGCAATATCAACGGTCAAATCACTGGAAGTGAGTTTCAAACGGTTAAATTAGTGCATGAATTTTTTAAAGTAGGTGAACTGTTCTGGGTTCAAGAGAAGAACCTCTCAGCTGCCACAAAAAAGTGCATGACTGTAGAGCTTAACCACATAGAAATCTTATCTCACTTATAAAATAAAATATGGTCACTAGAACATGTAAATAATCTCTATCTGAAGTGTTTTGCATTTGGAACAGCTACTTTACCATATGGCAAGAGTTAAGAGAGTTTAGCCTTCTTTGGCAACCTAACTTGGTATGTTTTAAAAATCCAATGTGGAAATACTGGGTACTTGTAATGGAAGTTGAGATATATTTGTGCATCATGCTTAATAAAATAAAGGAGAACCATAGTTGTGGAAGGCTGTATCCCCATAAGTGAGAAGGCCACGAATGGTCTTAAGAGTTGCCAGGCCTCACGTTGTTCCTTTTTCTTTCTGTTACCACCTCAAATATAGGGAATTGAAAGAGTGGATAAACCCATAGTGACAGGAAACTAAGAGCATATAGTTTTTATTGGAAGCTCTGTAGCTCGTGCTTCAGATTAGCTAGGCATTCCTCGCATAATATTTTGCAGTTGCTCAACATTGTGTACACTTATATTCCTCGCATAATATTTCAAACTTATAGCTGATAGCTTATGAATTATAGCTGAAAAGTTAGCTTATATGATAAGTGTTTGGTAAACTCGAGCTTTTTAAAAAATTTGTCCTACCAAATCAAGCTTATTTGAATACAGGAAACTTATAAGCCAATCAAATAAGCTATAAGTTATCTTATATGCTTACCAAACACAACCTTAGTTTTATATTTAACCTAGGAAATAGCTTACTGGATGAGTTTCTATTTTCTCAATAGTTTTGTATGTTTCTTGCTCGAGTTAACATATTGTATTCTTTAGATGGATTCGGTGATATCACAAGCACAAGAGACCATAAAGTCCCTCGTCTTCCAACGTTCCACATTTGGGGGCATCAATTCGAAGCTTAGTAATGTCAGCAGTCGTCTTCCCACGGTAAGGGAATTAATCACATGCCATGCTTTTACTTTACACAACAAATCTAAAAAGAGAATCATCTGTGCACTTGTGAATTATCTAAATACAGTACGTACGAAATTTCACAGGTGAATCATATCCTCTCAGCAATAAAGAAGAAAAAGTCGATGGACACCATCATACTTTCGTTAGTTGCATCCGTCTGCATGTTTCTAATTTTAATTTACTGGTGGACTAAGTAGGTTGTCTTCTCAAGGGAATTGTTTGTTTGTACATACCCTATTTTGGCTTTGCCACCGGATTTTGTAGTTCTCTATGTTTGTAATGGAATTATTTACATATTTTTTCTCTCAATCCAATGAAATCATAGAAAGCAAGATTCAACATTCAAGCTGGTTACATGTATTATCAAAAACTTTACTTTGAATAACGAGATTCTACTAAGGGGAGAAGCATTGTGTTGTTTGTAAGAGAATTTGGACATCATTGACTAATACGTTAAGTTGTCCTTGTTTTTTTTTAGACACTCGTGAAGCAACTGAACACGAGCCCGAGGTTGCAGCATTTCGTTCCAATTAAAAATATAAACAAGAAAAATACAAGGAATAAACGCTTCAGTTGCACAAAACGGAGATGACCGCGTTATGGGATATATAAACACCATGCAAACTGAACCTACCACGAACTAAAACAAATGTCGAAGATATTAGGACATTGCTAACGTCCACACATTATTCAAACACCAGAGCCTAAATTTAGCACGAAAACAACCTAGATAAAATGCCAAAGGTCTCAAACTTAAATTAAACATAAGTCTAAAGCTGCAAACTAAATCCAACTGATAGTTCACCTTCTTCGCTTCTTTCCACTCTTAACCTCAGTTTGTCGTGACTTTGCAGAATCCGTGGATTTCCCTTTCGCCGGTCCTGATGATGTCGCCAAGTCAGCAAGTTTTTCCTTCTTCTGACCAGCTTCTTTTGCCTTTGATGAACCAACTTTTTTCATTATGGCACCACCGTCATCACCAAGGTTTTTCCCACTTTGTGGGGTTTTACCTTTAGACTTGGCAGTTTTCTGACTGTCCTGTTTGGGGCAGCTTGGGGTTTTTGGTGAGTCGTCTTTGTTTTTACCTCCAGACGCTTTAACAGATCCATCTTTGGTTTTACCGCTAGATGCTTTACCAGATTTGCCTTTGGCTTTACTACCGGATGCCTTGCCTTGATCCTTTGATTTGTCCCAAGATTTTATTGCACTGTCTTTCTGTTTACTGAAAACCACAATTTGTATTTCTAGTCAATTCACCTTCATGACCCTAGAAAATAACGTATACACAAAGCAGCCATAAGGAAAACGAAACCATTTTGGAGTATTGTTCAGTTTTTGACGTTTGCTTTTCGATGCTTCTGAATCTGTATTCCCTTTCTTCCTCTTTTGCCTGGTTAAAGGAAACCAAACAATTAGCAACCATACAAAGATTCTGTATCGTTCTCCAACAATAAGAAGCGTAACAGTGATGACTTAAAGTTAATACCCATAACCCATATTTACAGCAACCCAAATGCTACATTGACATGTAAATATCGACATAGTTCCACATTTTCATCCTATGAAGCAGGAAGCAACAAATCTATAGAATTGCAAATTTTAAATTATAAATTAATAATATATACATATACAATTTTCCTAGAATGAAGTAGGAGAGTAAGTAAGGACAAAAACTTACACTTCCGGTGAAGTATCATGACTTGAAGGTTCAGCATCATCATTCTGTTTACAGATATTGTTAGCAATAAATAATGCACGTAAAAATGAAGACGCCAGCCAAACAAGAACCAGCAAGTTACATACCCCATCTGAATCCGAGTCATCTTCAATAAGCTCCCACCTTTCTTGTTTGAGATTTAGTACTTCTTCCTCACCATCATTATACAAGACCTATTTAAGATCACAGCATAATTGAACAACGGTTTTTTAAAACAACAACTGAACAGCAAAAACAAAAAGAAGCTAGCTTTGCACTGACCTTATGCTTTTTCTTGACAGAATCAAAACATTCAACTACGCCTTCATAAAACCTGGCGATAACATTACATAAGCATCAAATATTCTTATATTTTGATCACCATTCTGCAGAATTCGGAGTGTAAGAAATCACTTACGTCCGATCCATTGGCCACCATACTCTAACTTTCGAACCAACCAAACTCTTGTTGAGCTCAGTATCACCAGATGCCTGGAAAACGTAATACAGAAAACAGAAAATAGATAAAATTGTATGATATAAGATTGGACTACGGATTTAACTTCTCTAGATGCAATGCAGCTTTGCCAATGTTGAACGTAAACCCAATAAAGAAAGTGAGTAAATAGTTGTCCCTACACCAGTCTTAAATTTTACAATCTCGTTAAATACATAAAATAAACGGCAATAAATGCAATTCCCCATCCCCAACACCAGTCTTTCTATAGAGAAGGAAAAAACATCAAGCACTTTGATTATCAACATAAAGTCAAAGTCTGCTCAATTGTAAAAAGAGCACATGGTGTAGATAGTAACAGGGAGTCCGAGTTTTAGTTTCTTATAGAAATCCTGATAAACGTCCAGTACTATGATATTAATGTCGTTTACATCTGCCGATGCTGTAATTACGTTCGTAAGTTGACAATATATAGTTTGTTCATTAAAAAAATGGCATAACCTCTTCAAAATAAGATTTTCAAACTATTCAAAGAAGACATACTGAAATGATTGGTCAAGAAAATTCTCAATACACGAAAAATCTTGTAGGATTGTGAAAACTACAATGACAAGTTGAGTACAATAAGAGAACAGAGTTAAGTGATGAAAAACAGAGAAAATGAATAAGATTAAAGAAAAGGTTGATCAAGTGGTCCCCAAGTGATGAAAAAGACTAATTCCATTCTTAACTAGGGTTAGCAGTGTGGAGCATTCACCATGTTCAAGTTAAAAGTTACAGTTATATTCTGCTATTTGTTATTAAATGTCAGAAATGATGGCATAAAAGAAACCTAAACTTAGCATGAAAGATAAATAGAGTAAGCAGTAGTGCATACCTTCTCTGTGCCGGGAGTTCGCTTTCTCTTGACAACAGTTCTCGGAGTTTCTTCTTCTGTGCCTTCATCTTCCGATGCCTTTAAAGGCGACCTAGGTGAAGACACTTTGTCCTACACAAAAAACCCACACAAGAGAACATAAGATGACAAAAGAGAAAAAAAAAACACTGTAAAAGTAACTAATCTGAATTAACATTCCAAGTAGAATATTGAATTACTTCCGCATGAACTACTTTTCCAAAAGATTTCGGTGGAACTTCTCCTGAGGTGGGCTTCACATGTCCTTTCTTTTTGTCGTCTTCCTTAGTCATTGAGGATCCATGTTCCGTCTTATTATTAGGAGTCTGGTCCAGTGATCTTGCCTCTGAATCTGTTGCACTCCCTTCATTCTTGGATGCACCCTCTCCAGTCAATTCTTTATCCTTCACAGTTTTCTTGCCAGATTTCTTCTTTTTGCCACCCCACCGCCGCTTCTTTGATTTCGAACGTCTTCCTCCAGCAGATGCCTTCTTATAAACAATATCAACAGATACTGTCACTTCTTCAACCAGGTATTCCTTCCCTTTGGCCGGACTATCTATTTCAGATCGGCTCTCACCAGAAAGGCTTACACTTTGGGCTGGAGATGCAACACTTATGGCCTCATTTTCAGGTGCATGTGATGGTGAAAGCTGATTAGTAGCATCTTCTACTTCATTCTGAGATTTGGCAGCTTCAACAAGTTCGGAATCAGTAGCATTAGTTTCCAGCTTCTCTAAATTTTGAGCACTGCAGTCATCAGACTCAGTTTTGGACACAGATTTTGCATCAACCTGATGGTCAGAATCAGCCTCCTTTGAAATATTGGAATCTGCCATAGTATCTTCAGTACAAGTCTCATTGATAACATTAGTAACTACTGACTTAGACGATTCAATCAAAGTGGAATCTTTCTCTTGAGAATCGGTCCCTTCCCCACCTTCTCTAACCATCTGCTTAGACACCATAAGATGCAACACATCACTTTAAAGGACAAAGGTAGCAAAACTTACTCATTTATACAAAAAAATGAACACTGGAGTAACTGGCAAAGATTCACCGTGACCAGCAAATTCTAGAATAAATGGTGAATAACAAATTCCTGATGCCCCATCCAATAAAAAGAATATGACAATATAGTTTAAAGATAACCGCACAGGCATAACTAGTGTGTTCAGCATCATCTACACATCTTAGGCACAAAATATAAAAATTAATTACGGGTAAAGCCAAAAATGAAGTCAACTGATCTTTGAGTTGAATATAAGAAAACTAGTTATCGTATTGAAAACAATCCTCTCTGTCCTGTAGATGATCATGCACGAGGAAGGAATAAGGAAAGGGAAAGGGAAAGGAAATCATATGATTTGTGGTTGAGTTAGACAATGTGACTGGTTTTCTCATCGAACTAAATGATACCATAAGAGGCTATACATGCACTATTCATGAGGAAAATTATCTGAGTTTTTTCTGAGAGAATTATCACAGCAACATGCCTGAGTGATCCTGAACTGGAGAGATACTAGTATCATGATTTACCGCCATAAATTCATTGGAAGGCACATCTTAATCCTAACTGTTACTCAGAAATATTGAAAGAAAGGATATACAGGAATTGAGGACTATAATATTAAGGAACCAAATTCAGACAGGCATCAGGCTTTCAGAATTTCCAAGTGTTGGAGAATAGTAGTTATAGTATAACATACCACAATTACAAGTGTTGTATCAGTATCCTCTCGGCACAAGGAAGCTACAACCTCACCATAATCCTCCGCAGGAGAACCTAAAGACTTTACTGCTTGTGCTAAATAAGGTCTAAGTTTTTCAGATGAATTTTCAATAACTCTCGCGGCCAGTCTCTTTGCAATTGGCAGAACATTCTGCATGGGCTCTTTGTCAGAAACAAGTAGAACACAGAAGAGGGAAAAAAGCAAAAATAAAAAAAGGTAAATTCTTTAAAAGGCCCAATATATCAACCTCATTGTTCTTTTTCAAGGTAGCCAAAATTGGATTGAGTAGATCTGGAGAGATGTCTTCACTTTCTTCCAAAACAAGAGTCATTATCGACTCCATGGATGCAAAGATGATTTCTGGATGATAATCTCTGAAAATAGGGATATAGACAAACTTTACTACTCATGATGGATTGATTCTTAGTCACATGCACCATCAGAAACTAGACAGGCCAACATGATAAGTTGCTTATTCATCCATATTAATTATAAAAATGACATAAAAGTTTCTTACATTAACCCTAAAGACTTCATTTAACTGCTATAAAATGATATCAGATTTCAAATGGATAAAGATGAATGCAAATGGATCAATGAGTAACAAAAGGATAATGTCTGCATTTATCCCAAACTCATGATAAAACTATTAACATGCAACACTTTAAAGTAGCAATTATAACTCAGAGAACCCATGATGTGTCTACGTGTGGTCTGATTAAAGAGGACTGAAGGTTCGACCCCAAAAATGGGAGTCAAGATGGTGCAGAAAGAATGAACTTGAAAACTGAAATGACTTATCCATCTTCAACCAGAAAGAACAAGAGATTAATATGATTCAACAGAACAATATATAACAATTTAAATGACAATGTTCGTGGAGACCAGAAATAAACTATAAAAAAGGTATTCAATTGGCAACTTGACTCTTACCTGATAGCTTTGAGGAAGTGTTGGAACATCTCATTGATCATCTGATCACATTCTAAATCCAGCATGATCAAACAAGACCTGACTTTGGCTACAATTTCAAGTATGGAGGCCCTTTTTCCATATGATCTGCTGGATGTTTCGGACAAATTCTCAAATGGTGGCACAATCAATTGAAAGACATCCTGAAACCATATAAAATGTCAATAACTTAAAAATGGGTGGGATGAGACACACACAGAGACACAGGGGGAGGGATAGAGATAGATAGATAGAGAGAGAGAGAGAGAGAGAGAGAGAGAGAGATCGCCTTCATTTTATCATCATCATACGGAGCCTCGGGTGCAGTAATTCTGGTTATCTCACAGATGCAAGAAGCTACGCCTACTTTAACATCTTCATTAGAATGCTTCACAAGCTCTTCCATGATCAGTGCCTTCGTTAGTGGAGAAAGAGCAGTTTGCATGGATTGGGTAGGTGACTGCTCCACTTGTGAAAGAAGCTCCTCAATTTGCTTTAAGGAAAAAGCAAAGAACAAAGGTTTATTAAAATAACTATCAAGATTAGTTTAGATAACAAAAGAAGTATCTTATACACGACAACATTTTTTCGTGAATTAAATGGAAACATATGCATGTATTTAGGGATGAAAACGGTGCGGTGCGGTGCGGATAATGCCTTTCCCACATCCTAATCCATTTTATTTTTGCGGATTTGGAGCGGAGCGGATATTGGGCGGATACGGATGTGGATGCGGATTGTTTCGGATATCAGAGATGGTACGGATTCGGAGCGGAAGCGGATCGGATGCGGATTTATATAGTCGGATAATACATGCTTCTACTCAACTCTTTATGACGAATAATAATTAATAAAGCAAAGTTGCAAGAAAAATTAAAAAGAACACAAAACATTGAGTTCCTTAGGTACTTAGCTAACGAGTTGAGCCAAGTACATAGCTAGTTCACAACTAGCTAAGCTAAACCATTAATAATTAAGCAATACACCCGCTATACAAAATCATAGCCTAATAGTCATAGGTCCGAGCTATATATAGATGCATCATGCATGCAGTGATACAGATATATAGATCTCTTCTGGGTAGGGATTTGTATCAACTATCCAGTGGGGATCGACATATACATGATCTACACCAAGGCCCGAAAAGATCCATACAGCCACGATGGTCCATAGATGCTAGAAAGATCATGATGATGCCATCGATCTTCTAGGAGATAACTCATTCGTTCACCAACAAAACGATTCGTACATGTGCGGTGTGCCGGCCTGGAGTGAGGTTGGCTGTAGAAAGTCGGAACTGGAAGAACAATTACAAAATTGGGTAAAAAAATAGTAAAATGCAATACAATACCTAGTGCTGACTTGTTGTGTCGAAGAAAACAGTAGCACACACGAGAGTAGCGGCGGCCGGGGAACGAAGATGCAAATAGATGTCGCTGACAGCGACCTGAATGCGAGATGATTGTGGAACCAGCCGCCGTATCCTTAGCTTTTAGAGTGTCTGCCGATGAGTAATTTTATATGGTTTGTGTGGGCTAGTTGGACTGGGATTATATTATTTAGGGCTATGTAAAATAATCGGATATCCTCTTATAAAGGTCGGATAATCCACTTTAAATTGTCGGATAATCCATATCCACCGGATATTGTCAATACCATATCCTCCTCCATATCCGCAACAATCGGATGCGGATTATCCATATCCTCATGGATATCTAAAACCTTAATCCATATCCTCGTAATGCGGATTCGGATCGGATCGGATGCGGAAATTATCCACCCCGCTTTCACCCCTACATGTATTCATATATGTTTCATGCTCAATGCCACTGAACATTTAAATTATTGGGTGGTGAACAAGTATTCTGTAACTCAAGAAAGTTGGTGGCAAAATAACTTTCTTGTTCGTAAAAAGTCCAGAACCGTATTATGTAGGGCTATCTTGTCCCAGATTCAATGAACGATAAACTTACCGAAAATTAAAGGAATCAAACCATTCAAATAACATGATTCACAATTCATAAATTATTACCCAAATAATACAAGTGAAATTCCAACATATCTCTTAGAAAAAAGCAACAGGTACAAACAATCTAAATGCACAATTTGATGTTCTGGAAATATGATACTACCATATAAGCACTTAAAACCGTAAGGACAAATATAAATAGTATTTAACGATGCGAATCACTTAAAGAGATTCTCATGCAGAACTGCCGAAGGATTTGAAAATTGAGGATTCCACTTTGATTATCACAATTTACAGATATGGGAAAAAGACGGTGACCTAAAAGTTAATGAACACAACACATGCATTAAGATAAATAAATCTACTGGATCGAGTATCAAGTCTCACTTCCCGATTGACACATAATTACCAAAATAAGTGGGATCCATTAGGCCATTTATTTCAAATGTAGTACAACCAGAATTGAACAATCTAGCTCAACTTAGATAACAACGCATCTTAATCCAGAACGTAACAAATCAAATAGACGCATGCAAATGCTCTGATACAACAATGTGCGACTTGCTTGATCAAGCATTCACTGACCTGATACCAACCTAAGCAAAAAAATTCTTGACAGGCAGAATCATCACTTTTTTCAACAGTTAAAAACTCAAAACAAAGAGAATGCAAAAACAATTTTCTACTGCTCCCGTCCCAGAAACCGGAATCAACAATGCCAATGGCATCGGTTAATGAATGTCTCCAAGAAGCAAATCGCCAAATCCAACATAAAAACTGGGACTTTAAGATGACGAACAGAGTCATAATTCAAGATCTTTCATAAAAAAATCATATCTTTGATCTCATTATTTGTTTATTTATTTAAGGTTGACAAGGGGGCTTACATCGAGAAGGGGCAAGAGCTCAATGACTGAGGAGGGAGGCAGAAGAAGGCTGTTCCCGGCGGCGGTAAGCCGCTCTTCCAGCTCTTTATTCGAGAGTTCCGGGGGCATCGTTCACCTTGACCCACTCTTACACCAGATCTTTTCTTCACAAAGAAAAGAAAAACAAGATCACAACTCGTCACTCAAACTACCTGTTGATAACCCTAAATTATATCCTGGAGAAATATTTCTTCTGAAGAACCAACGATACCATGAAAGTAAAGCAAGGATCCGGCCATGGCTGCGCTTAGAGGGATCAAAATCGAGAACGCTTAAAAGAAAAAAGGATTAGAAATTTACCGGTAATTTGCAGACGGGAGATGCGAATCTAACACAATCAACACGGCGGGCCACGGCCAAAATAGCCCCTTTGATAATGGTGATTAAAGTACGAGCGGCAGAGTGTATATATATTTTTCTGCGAACACTATTTTGAGTTTTTTCGGTGGGCACAGCATATAAGAGCTTTTATTAGCACTCCAATTTTGTCGTGACTCTACAGAAACGGCGTCCTTTTGCATAACGTTTGAAGTTTTGAACTATTTGGTCAACATATTTTTAGGTTCCTAGTAATTTGTGGGCCACCAGAGTTTTGTTCTTGAAAATAATGTGTAGAGGTGGCCAATCGCCGGATCGCGACCCGGCCCGGCCTGCCTTAATATTATGGCCCGCGCCGGCCCAAAATAAACTATGTGCCGGTCCATAGAACCGGCCATGAACGGTCGGTTCATCGACCCGGCGGGTTTTGGACGATTCCAGACCAATACGATCCTTAAAAAAAAAACATCGTAGCCCGTCGTTCAACTTATGGCCAGACCTAGCCCGGCTCGGACCGATAGTTCAAAAAGAAAATTATGAACTGGGACTGAACCCGTGACCGTAAGGGGCCAGTTCGGGCCCGGTCGGGACTGGTTCACGGACCAGTTCGTCCCGTGAACATGTCCATAATGTGCATGATTTTGTTAACACAAGTATTACTTGTGAGTTGTCTCACATTGATTTTATAGGGAAAATGAGCCTAGCATATAAGCCAAGTAAGTTATTTCTGCCATCACCAATTGGTTTTGGGATGGAACCTCACTAGTCACTATAGTGCACCTAGGCTCACCCTCTTATGGTGCGCTTAATATGCGTGGGACCACACTTCTCTAATATTAAAGCAAAAGGTGCACTTGGGATAATTTCAATGAAAATTGATATATATATATATATATATATAAACAATATTGTTACAAATTGAAAAGTAAAATTGCGATCTCTAAAGTCTATACTAATTGTTACTATACTTTTTGGGAATCAAGTGTTTGTTTTCTATGAATTGTTATACTTTTTTGATAAAAAAAAATTGTTACAAACTATTTTGTTTATATTGTTTGTCGAGTATGGCATTTTAATTTGACGGTATGTATATCTACGGAAAAAAATATAGTTATCAACCCGAGCTACCTAATACAACCGGCAAAATTTTATTTTTGGTCTATTATATTGACCATTTTCTAGAAATGGTCTACTAATTTGACGGACATCAAACTTGATACAATAAGTTGTAAAATTCATCATTTTTTGTCCATAAACCTACGTGGCGTTCTATCGGGCGAATACGTGGACAAGTTTGATGTCTGTCACGTAAGCTCGTTATTCAACCTGAGTGATTAATGGACCAAAAATGATGAATTTTACAATTTATTGCATCAAGTTTGATGTCCGCCAAATTAGTAGACCATTTATGAAAAATGACCAATAGAATGAATCAAAAATAGCATTTTACCCAATACAACCTCACTGTTGAATATTTCATTGTGTTGGCAGTCATCCCAAATAAATAAAACAATAATGAAATTAGCATGATAACTACATCATTTAAATACATGCATGCTGCATTTTTCACGGTCTAAGCGGTGTCCGGCGCCTTCGATTTGCACAAATTAGCAGAAAAATTGGCCAGGCTTCTAGGTGGCCTTCGACGCTCCTAGACGGACTTGGCGGGCTCGTCGAACAGATTAATTGTTTATCAAAAAAATCATATTACATAGAAATCGGGTTAACTTGTGTAAAATTCGGCATGACAATTTTGTAAAAGTGAAAATTTTCTTTTTTTTTTATTAAAAATATATGTTTACCATAAAATCGGGCATTTCGAATTAGAGAAAATACTATACATGTATGTTTACCTAATTGCAACATATCATGTTTATTAAAAAAAAATTCGGGATTTTCATAAAAATCGAGCCCAATTTCAAATTGAGAATTAGAATTTAAAAATCCTATCATTTGGGTATTAATTTGTTTAGTTTGGATTATTTTTTTTCAAAACATAAAATAGAGTCAGATAATATTAATTTTCAATTCAAAATGAAACTGAATTGGAACATCATAAAATTGAGTTTTGTTTAACCCTTTAAAATACAAATTTAAAATTGATTGCATACATTTGCAAAATAAATAATGATTGCATACACCTACAAAATATCATATATATCATGCTAAATAATTAACTGATTTATTTAAATCTATCTCGAATCCTAATATAATTTGTGGTGATAGACGATGTACCAAAAAATAAACAAATAATGTTGTGTACAAAAATGCGTTTAATAATATTTAAGGTACATTTTATTTATTTCAATACATATTTTTTTTTACGTTTTTTCGATCATTCAATCATTCAAATCTAAATGTTTTTTTTTTTTTCTTCTTCTTTCGTCTCAGACAAATGCCTCGATTTGTCGTCACGATTTTAAAAACGAATGGATTTCGATCGGACTCGTCATCGTAAATTGTACATCACCATTCAAATCTAAATGTTTACCTTAATAAAATTGAGGTACCACCACACTAGTTTAATCAATTAAGACAATGAAGAAACTTAATTCATTCATATTTCCCAAATCATAACCTCACTTAATTCACTCATATTTCCCAGTAGCATCGAATTTGCCACCACTATGGTTTTTTCCGGCGAACTGGTGGCCGCGGCGGTCTGAGATGGGCGTAAGGAGCTCGGGCTGGACGGCAGGTTGTCCGCGGGAGTTCGAGCAGTTGGAGAAAATGGGGAATTTCACTGCATAGGGCTTGGTGCCGGTGAAGCTTCTCGATCTGTACCTCGAGATCAAGCTGTCGGAATGTGATCTATTTTCTCAAGAACGAATTCCCGGACATGGATGGTATCAGCATCTCTGGTAAACTAAAAAATCGATTCGAATTTTTCTTCAAAGTGAGTGATTAATTAGCCGATAGTATTGTGTATGCCGACTAGCTAATATGTGCTGCATATTTGTGGTTTGATATCGGTATCTCTGGTAAAAATTCGATTCGAATTTGTCTTCAGATCGAGTGATTAATTAGCCGATTGTATTGTGTATGCCGGCTAGCTAATCTGTGCTACATATTTGTGGTTGGTTGGTTGATTGAGTAGGGAACTACTGTTCGGACAAGAAACCGGCGACCGTGAACTGGATTGACGGGCGAGATCTGGCCGAAGAAGTTGTTGCTGAAGAGGTAGATGAGCTTGAGGTTGAGGCAACGGGCGAGTGAGGAGAGCGTGTCGTCGAGTCGGTTGCCGCGGAGGTCAAGGAGACGGAGCTGGTCGAGGGATGCGACGGCGTCGATGGGGCCACGGAGGTTTTGGGAGGGGATGATGACGGCGGTGTCGCGTCAATTGTTTGGTGAAATTTTGTTGCCAGGTGTGAACATTCGAGCCTCGTAGTCTGGGGCAATGAGCTCCGCTGGAGCTGAGCATCGACACACGCAGGGCCTATTTTAGTTTCCTCTGCGCACTCAACTAAACGCCCCATCAGATCAATCTCGTCAAAAAACAAAACTTCACATGTGACCCCAAGAATGCATACAAGGACCGACTTGAACTACCCCACTGAATTTGTCTTAGATGAATCTTCAAGTTCACATATACATCCGTTGGTTTGGAGTCCATCCGAACTAGGATGTAATATCACCCGCCAAATGTATGGGATGAAGTTGAGATGTGGGTGTTCCGTTTGTAAACTTTCTTATATTGTTAGAGGATTAGTGTATGAATTGCAACAGTATTTTTCCGTGCAATGGGATGAAGTTAAGATGTGGGTGATTAGTTTGTAAACTTTTTTATATTCGTACCCGATGAGTTATATGAATTGCAACGGTAATTTCTTTTTTTTTTTTTTTTTTTTGTGCATTTTTTTGGTTTTCTGCTTGGTGAGTTGATGCTTGATTGTAGAGGAAATGGGAATCATATACATGAGATATGTGCCGTGGAGTTTTTACTGTTGTGCAAGTGTATCTTACATAGGCTTTCATTGATACTGAAAGTGAAGTGAACCTGTGAATTGTGAAGTGAAACTCCACAGCTGAACTAAAAAGTTGGTTCACTGTGAATTGAGCTGAATAAAAAAAATGGCAGAGAATATTAGGAAATGATATAGTATGATTTTGGGGAACAATCATAGTTTCTTAATTGATTAAATAATTAAAAAAAAAAACCAATGATAAATGGCTTTGATCCATAGCAATAATTAGCCAGTCAAGAAAGATAGAGCTGCTGCTATCTATAGTTGAAAAGCCATTCAAAAAAGGTAACAATTACCCTAAAAAAAACACTATCCAAAAAGTAAGATCAAGTGTCATAATAACATACCAAAAAAAAGCAGAACAAACTAAGCTGGACAAACAAACAAAGAAAGCACCTTAAACAAACCATAAAACCACTCACTACTAAGAGCACCCACAATGCTTTGGGTTTATTAGAAAAAAGTTACATGCCATGTAAGAAATAGACCTAGTCTATAAAAAAGTGTTCTCCAATGCAATTAAAAGTGGACCTAGTCTAGCTTATGTGGCAATAAAAAAATGAGACCTAGTCCACACTTGGGTCTATTTTAGACCCAAGTACAAACCCAAGCACTCATCATTTATTCCTCATTTAATTTTTCTTTTAATAAATGAAATATACTAGAGCATTTTTATTGGTTGTCATGTATTTTAGACCTAGTACTTTTTTGTTTTGCATTGGATAGATTTTGGTTTTTTTAGTTTAGGTTTGTCCATGTCATTATGGACTTAAGTCTATTTATTTGCCACATATGCAAAAAGAGACCCAAAGCATTGTGGATGCTCTAACAGACAAACTCCCTATAATCTTAATAACAACAAACCCAAACTACTTATTCAGCAGCAGCTGTGCAAAGTGCAGGACCATTAAAAAACGAAGAAATTGAAGACACTAGAGTTCGACGAAGACCGAACGATCTCTAAAACGGCAAGCTCTTGGACGTGGAGGAGCCAGACGTGAGGGCCTTGAGGTGCTCGGAGGGCACAAAATCGTGCGGCAAATTCGCCCTCTCCACCATCCTCTTCATGTTGGTGTGCAGGCTCTGCTGCACCAGCTGCCTCACCGCCCTCTTCTCGTGGCTCATCGTCTCCTCCTCTTCCTCCTCCTCCTCCTCCTCCGCTCGGTCAAAAGTTGACGGTGAAGGTGATGACATCAGCGGGGCCGACACATTCCCTCCTCCTCCCCCGACAACAATCTGCTTGCCCTTGTCGACCCTCAGCAGCTCCAGCATCCTCGAAGCCCTCTTCTGCGCCAGCACGCTGCCCAAGAGAGTGAGCTCGAGCAGGGCCGAGACGGCCCCAGCCTCGATTATGGCCTGCCGATCCGCGTAAGATTTATGGGCCATCACCATTAGAATGTACGATGCCTTTTCTTGACACTCGGGTGAGTCCGTCCAGCCCAAGACATCCACAAGTAAGGGGAATGTGTCCGGGACGGACGCAATTCTCCTCCTACCGTCGGCCACCGAGACTATATTTGCCAGGATCGAGAGGATTCGGTTGCTCGTGGCTGAGCCGCCGCACCCGAGCTCGGAGAGGAGGTGCGGGATGAGGTCGGTGTCGAGGATGGGTCGCGTGTTGGTGGGAGAGATGGAGAGGTTGCAGAAGGCTCTGAGGGCATCCTGCTTCGCCTGAGGGTTGGGGGAGTCTTTGAGGGTGTTTACAAGAAACGGAATGGCGCCCGAGGAGCCAATGATGGGTTTGTTGGAGTCGAGGGCGCTGAGGCCGAGGAAGTTGGCCACGGCGGCCTCGGCAACCTCCGGATTGTGGGGAGGGGTTTGGATGAGCTTCAGGATTTTGTGGACGGCGCCGGATTTCACGATGGCCGCTTTATTTCTGAACAGACACAAGCACACACGATATCTGGGAATTAGTGATTGATTAGACATTAATTAGTTACCCCTCAAAAAGGTATCAATTTCTGTAGAGGGACACCGACACATCACGAGGGAGGAAGGTGCTTGAACAGTGACAGTGACTCAACGAATGAAGTAAAAAACAAGAAACAGCATAAAAAGGACCTAAATTGCAACCAACCAAACAAGGAAATGGTACTCGTACAATCAGTGAGATGGAAATTATGAGAGAGAGAAAGAGAGAGGACCCGTCGTTGGCTATGGCGAGGTTGAGCAGAGCATAAAGGGCGGCGATCTGAGTGCGAAAGGTGGGATCTTGGGCGTCGAGGAGGGCAACCAGGGGAGGGATCACGCCGAGCAGGGCGAGTGTGGCGCGGGCCTCCGGGTCGTCCTTGGTCAACCGCCGCACCTCCGCCGCGCCCTCCACCACCGACGGCCCCTCCGCCGCCTCCTGAAGCTTCCTGGCCACCCCTTTCAGCCTTTCCAGCGCCTCCTCCTTCCTCCTCCGCCTCAGCTCCGCCTCCGATTCCTCATTCTCCCACCATTCGGCCCGCTTGAGGAGCTCCGACAGCTTATCGGATCCGGGCTTCGGGTTCCTCCTATTGGGCCGCTGGGCGCCTCCGCCGCACCGGACGCTTTCGATTAGCAGGGACCAAAGCCGCAGCGGCCGCTCCAGAGCGACGGATCCGCCGCCGCCGCCGCCGTCACATCGGCTCATTGTTCCCCACGCCATTCTCCCTGCATTTATATTACGAGCTCCGCCGGGAAAGCAATGCCGCCTACCTCACGGTCACGAGCATCGATTCTTGTTTGTTTTTTTGGGGGGAGGTTTTGCTTGTCTGAATGTGAAGCGGCAAAGGAGAAGAATACTATACCAGGGAGTGTCGGCGCTTGTGTGGGAATAGAAGCAGAATCTCACTTGGTTTAGTAGCAGTGGGCTGACGCTAAAAAATGAGACACATTGCAGGACAAATGGCTAAAGTCGCCATGTGCGTGTGCTTGTGTTAGTAACTTGGAATAATTTGATTATGAACCAATATGAGAACAAATTTAAGGAAGAATTAGAGAAACTTTAGACGGTGATACAAGTTATTTTGGATTTGACTGGATTTATTGGATAATCAGAGTTAAAATATGAAAAATTGGATTTAGTTAATTTAAAAAAAAAACCGTCTTTGTTATATTTGAGAGGAATTTTAAGTTTATATTAAAATAATATTTAAAATATAATGATTAAAGTTTATTAAAAAAATATGAGGGAGAGAGAGAGAAATGATTAGAAATCATGTGTAGTTAAAATTATGTGAGTGTGGGCGAATAATGAATTAAAGTTTATGTCATTTGTGAGAATGATTGATAGATATTATTTATTTATATTTGATGATATTGAGAACAATTTGTTGAGTTAGATTTTACGTTGGAAAAAATTGGTAAAAAAAATCAGATAATTTATACCAATTAGGTTTTGCTCGTGGCGGTCGTCGTAGTGGTCAAAATGGGGACCTTCACGTAATCTAGTGATCGGACACCATGAAAGCGTAAAAATATAGGCGAAAATCTTCTTCGAGTTGACCTCCATTGCCAACACCGAGACAGACGGTATACCGAGACGTTCTGGGTCTTCCCGATGATGTTGAGCTCGAGACGGTCCAACGCATCTTTCACTCTATTGAGGAAATCCGCGAGAGCTTACAGTTCGAGGAGAACTAGAAGCATCAGTGTGAAGATGATTTCGATCATAATCTAGGTGGACAAGGTCAACAACCTCAATGTAAACGGACTCGGGCAGGCGCCGCCTCCGGCGAGGATGGGTTCAAGGAATGAAATTCGATATATCGCATGGCACTTTACGAAGGTGCCCAATGAGGAAAAATGTGACAAATATTTTATATGTAATTGCAGCTATTGTTCGAACAACGCCAAAAAGAAGTACACTTTCAAGAACGAAGATAGATACAGAACGATGCAACGATACATACAGACACATCATCCGGCCAAAATGGGGATTACCACAACCCAAACGTAATTCCTGATCACCATTGGCCACCACTACCTGGTTGGGCTGCTCCACCATCACGTTGGGCTAAGGGTTTTTGGTGCCCTGTCTATAGCCTCTGTAATTATTCGATCTAGCTCTGCCTTCGTTGCAGTTCCTGGAGCACCCTCTGAACCTCCCACGACCACCATAATCTGCTGCTCCGATGATGTTCTCTTCTCTCTCCCTTGGATAAGAACAACATTCCCCCTCTCCATACATGAGCTCACCGGATCTCTTTCCGGCGTCAGGACGTGACTCACACATGGAAAATTCGTCCTGGGAGTGACTAAAGCTCCACCCTCACGTGACCATCCCAACTGTGATCCAGCTTCGAAAGGCAATTTGATCACCTACGCTTCTTACAAGTTGTTGTTGAGGCTCTTCCTCAAGCTCTCGGGTGCCACTGTTGTCTTTTTCAACGTGTTCTCCTCTAAAATGATAGAGAAAATGGTAGATTTCCTGCAGACAACGCCAATTGATAAGCAATTCCTCCACGAACTGCTCTTCGAGTGACCTCTAACTGGTTTGACCTCCAGAGGTCCAGCAAAACACGCCGGTAGTTTCCTGGCATAGACGCCGACGATCCAGCTGACTCTCAAATATAAAATAATAAGAATTGTGTAAGTATATTGTAAAACTTAGTGTGTGTTCCCTTACTCCTTCATATCTGATACCTATATATATATATATATATATATTGAACTCTTGACTTGTTGCCTAAGCTCTAACTAATTATGTTATCCGGTGACCCAGCTGCTCGAAGGTCTGCCTGTTTGCCCAGCTGCCATAAGGTCTTTCCAATTGTTATCTTACTGCTTGTAGGTTTTAGATCCTTCTTAGCTAACCCTCCACGTGTACCCATTAGTAAGTCTATCGCTTATTCTCCACAACCATATCAAATAAATTGTCAATAGGTCTTACGCATACATGACCCGTAGGTCCATATGACCCATAGGTCCACCAAATCCAAGGTCTGACTATGTTAGCTACTCACAAGTACATTACTAGTTGGTCCATCGACCTATTATCTACAAGTTCCTTACATATACATCTATGAGTAGGTCCACCGACATACTCTCCTTTGGTCCCTTAGATGCATTACCAGTAGGTCAACCAACCTACTACTTGCAGGTCCCTTACATACACATACTACCAGTAGGTCCACCAACCTACTTGTCCTTAGATCCTTTAGATATGTTGCCAGTGGGTTTACCTACCTAATACCCACAGGCCACTTACATACACATATTATCAGTAGGTCAATCGACCTACATTCAAGAGGTCTACATACATAAATTGTTCTTAGGTCAACTGGATACAATTTCAATAGATCTTTCACGCATATGACCCATAGGTCTACCATATCCAACTTATGTATATACCCCGTACACATTGTTCTTAGTCATTACCATACTCAAGCTACCAAGAGGTCATCATCATGTCTGAGCTGCCAAGAGGTCATCATCATGTTTGAGCTACCAAGAGGTCATTATTATGTTCGAGCTACCAAGAGGTCATCATCATGCCCGAGCTAATTGTTGTTACAACTGTACTACTTGAGCTACCTCCTAGATAGCTCACATGAGCTACTCCAAGTTGTATATGCGACAGTTCACCCGACCTACTTAAGATCAAGTCACCCAAGCTACATGGAAAATGGCTCAATCGAGCTAACTATAGTCGATTCATCTCAAGCTATTCTATATGTTACGTCACCACCTGTTTTTGTATAGTTGCCTTCTGGACCTAGGGTTTTAAATGGAGATTTTGGGTTTGGTTACTTGTAGGATTGGAGGATCGAAAGGTGGATAGAGTCGCATCGGAGGAAAAAATGTATTTTACAGAGTGGGGAAAATCAACGATCATGATGGCATGCAATTTTTCGGCCTTCGACTACTTGACCCTTCTGAGAGGAACCACCATAAGAGAGAAAGGCGCATAAGCTAAGGCCATCATAGGCTACGTCGAGGTAAGCTTCCTCGGTGTCGACGAGCAGCTGCGTCGGCGTCTAAACTGGTGAAACTTATTCTTGACCATTGTTTGAGCGACTAGAAAATTAAGAGTTATTTGGTCAATTCACATATGCTGATAAATTAATAAACTCACCACGATGGATCCATTTATCAGCCCAACGCAGAATTTAAGCATTATAATCACGGGATTAATGATACAACTCAGGCCGCAATCCGAATAAACGAACAATGAGTTCCCCCTAATTAAGGGGGAAATCCATCATATACCACGAGTAATGGAAACATGAATAGATATTAAGATCTCGTAATTTTTTGAGACTTCTTGAACTTTTTGTTTTTATTAAGAAACTGCATACAAACTAACTAATGATGGAAGAAAACAAAATTGTAAGAGAGTTCTTCCAATAATAAGAAGAATGTGAAGAAATCACCCAAAAAGATATATTATGGGCCACTACGTTGTCCTTTCGAGTGGCATGGCAATACGAGCTGCAGTCTAGAGCCGTTAAAAGATCCCTAATACCGGTAAACACCTCAAAGTGAAGGTCCAAATCCTCCGAGTTAGTAATGCCACCTACGGCTTCTAGGGAGTCCGTCAGCACCGCCTGCACCTTTAAGTCTGAGTCCAGTGCAACGCGAAGACCATGACGAAGCGCCAACACTTCCGCTAATAAATGAGAAAATGAGCCATATATGCACGTAGCGAAGGTTGCCTAACATATGTCATCTTTATCATGAAACCAACCACCCAAACCAATTTTGGACTCGCGGACCACCGCATCGCAAAGAAGAGTCCAACCATTAGTACAAGTACCCCCACTTTTCCAACTAGAAATCAAATCACGACAGGGAACTCATTCCCCAGTCACTCTGAGTGAGCACTATCGAACTCTTTTAACCAGGATATCCCAAAATCTCAAACCTATTCTGGACCTCTTGCCTTGAATTTTTTTCAGAGACAATTACGCTTCTACCAAATAAGCCATAAGATAACGACAAAATTCCTAAAATCAGCACCACAATCCCTTTTTAGAATAGCCAAAGCTAGAGAGATGAAATCCTGTTTTTAGAGACTACAGATAACATTCAACCATCCTGCGTATTTCCATAACTTCCTTGCCCAATCACATTCGAAGAAAAGACGTGTATTCATTTCCCAACAACCGCACTGCAAACGAAAATCTTTATTACTATATACTATATTACTCCGAGTGATATTTTCACAGGATCGGATGGCTGAGGATGATACCTTCCAAACGAAAATCTTTATTTTAGGGGAAAGTCGTAATTTTCAAAGTGCTTTCCCCCAAGTAGTATTTAGATTTGAACTGGACGCCGAAGAATCCCCATGTAAGCTTTAAAGAAGATGATAGCCACTTCGCACTGAGTATCTCTTGTTCCCCTCAAATGCCAAATTAATCGATCTTCACCCAAATTTCACTTAACAGAACAGATATTATTTTGATAGCATCAATGGAAAGTAAAAGTTGGTGAACCAGATCGATTTTCCAAGACCATTAATATCGATAAGATTCTGGACGAGCTCCAGTCCACGCACAAAGTGGGAAAGAGGAATAAACGAAAAATTATGCGGGATCCACAGATCGGTATGAATCTTAACTTTGGAACAATCACCCATCCTCCAGCGTAAGCCCGCTTTAACGACTTCACGTCCCTAAAAAAGAATATTCCACAGATGAAAAGAATTAGATCGAACAATGAAGTCAAGAAAATCGCCGTTTGGAAAATATTTGCATTTAAGCGTTCGAGCAACCAAAGAAAAAGAACAATTTAAATGTCCAAAAATTTAATCGGGTGTACATTTAGGACTTCTTAAAACATTTTAAATTCTTTTGAAGTATGAGATTCTATGGACTTTCTCCATTCTCATGGATCTTGATGGATTTGTTATGAATATTGAATCGTAGTTGTCAACATTATATTAGAGTTTGATGGTTTTAAGACCTTTGGATAAGTATATGTACAATGGTTTCCTTGAAAAACAAAATGTAGAAAATGAGAAACTGCAATGATAATTAAACATATAAAGAAACGTGAATGAACCAAGAATACATAACAACACTAGCGATTAAAATAAGGAAAAGAGAAAAGAAAAAAAGGGAACAAGACCTAATAGTATATAGATCACAATCAAAATGTAACTCAGAATTATTCACTCTTTTAAATAGTTCGTTAGCTCGATATAGCTCGTTGTATTGCGTTTTATCCAAAAAAAAAAAAA